TTCTGATTTTATACCAATTTTTTTTTAGTTTATTTCACTTCTTGTAACTGTAATACATATTCTTCTTTGTTTTAAAATGATTTATTATCCTCGCGTTTATTTTTCAATTAATCAGATAATGCATTGTAAAACTGTTGATGTATATTTAATTTGTATTCATGTTTTTAAAAAATAATTTAACATTTACAAATGAATTACAATGACACAAGTAGATAAAAAACGAAAAACATACTCGAACTACGTAATATTTGCACAATATGAAAGCACAAAGAAGACAGTAACGATATTCAAGTTAGATTAGTTGCTGTGGATATTAAAACCATAAAAGATAACATTGACTACAAGATCATTGGAAATGTTATAATGACTAGTCAATCTATCAAATTGTAACATGATCTGATTTATCAAATCAATGTCATAAATATATGTCCATTATATATAATGACTAACTTACCCAGGCAATTTATGAATTGACTATTCAATATCATCATTACCTGAATTTACGTCATTATCAGTAACATACTCGTATACAATCCTACTATTTCGATACGCGTATTTTACTAGTATAAAATGAAATATAACCCATTAACTATAATTAATGTTATCTTGATTCTTGACTATTAATTTAATATTATATTCAAATTGACATTTTATCGAACGTTAAACATATCTAAACGATCTGTGATAAATACGGAATGCTATAATATGAAACATAGTAAATACATAGAACAATAGCCAACGATTTAATCAATTTAATATCAATAGAGACGTGTATTAACTATTAAATATTGAAAAAAATATAATACCTGTTGAACAACAAAATATACTAAAAAAATATTTTTATATAATTTTAAATTAAATTGGTTACCACGGTAACGAGAAATCCATATGTAGTATAAAAATCAAAAACTATAAAACAAATTATTTTTCTAATTTTAAAAGAATCTTTTTACATTTAATTTTTACTATAAAATTCTAAAGGCAAGTGAGGTCTGTTTAAAATTCTGTACAGGAAAGTTTTTATGACTCCAATCAGAAAAATAAAAAATAATTATTTTGTATGACTTTATTAACTTTTATCTAAATAGAAATAGCACAACTATACAAAACGATTATTAAGATATCACAACACTCTTTATTTAATTTTTTTGTGTTTGTATGATATTATAATACTATAAATTACTTTTATAAATAATGCTTTTTTTTAAAGAAAATATGATTAATTTTTATTATTTTATGTCAAAATAATCACCAAGGGTCTTATTTTTTTAACGAATTAATTTCCTTTGATCAATAATAAACATTCAAGCTAATGCCTTATGTTTTGATTATTAGGCTGATCATTAAAATAAATACAATAAAACACATAAATAGTAATATTGATGGAATATTGCAACTCATATTTATACTCTTAAATGATTATAGACAATATATTAAGAACCTAATATAGTTTGATGTTTGATATTTATAATTTAAAAATTCAGTGTAATAATATTAACTTATAAATATTTAATTAAAATATCAGATTATGTCAAAAAATTAGATAAAAGATCACATCAAAAAAAAAAAAAAAAAAAATGTAAAATCGATTCTTTTTAAAATTAATTTTCAATTATATACCCATATGGTAATAATGATCGTTGTACTCGTATGTTAAAATAAATACCTTGCGTAAATAGATTTATTTATCATATTATATTGCATAATATATTCTGCTAGTCATTAATAATTGTTGTCAAGTATCCACAACCGACAACAGCGGTATTAGTAGATTAATGTTTATTATTCATACTTGTGGTATTTTATTAATATAACGCGTATACACTGTGTAAAGTTACTGTAAACAGTATAGATTTATGCATATGCCGCATGTGAATAAAAAACGAGTATATACGTATGTATATTATACGCATTTACTTATTTGCCACAAAAAAAAAAAAAATAATAATAATAACACAGGCCTTAACTGTATACTGCTGGTGATACAAAAAATATTTAAATATTTGATAGATAGTTAGAAAATTATTTTATTAAGCATGTGTACGTTTATTTTATTTATCATGATAATATATAGTTTACTCCTTTAAATTTAACAAACATAACAATAATTTAAATAAGTCAAATAATGTTTACTAAACTAAATCATAGTTATTATGAAGAACGGTACTCATTATCATTTAAAATTCGCATACGGTTTAAATAATCAGTTAATCTATGTGGTTTATATAAACTATTATGTTAATTAATAATATAAAAACGAAAAGTGCGGAAAAAATCGGTGTAAAGTTAGCAAAGTAATTTCTATTATTGACACGATTTGGCGTTAAAAATAAATACTCTTTGTATTTTAATTTAAACTTTAATTTTGTTATTAAAAATATATGATATTAATTATAATTTAATTTTCGGTTATTTAAAGTTGTATAATAGTACATCTTAATCATTGATTGTTTGATAAAATTATGATGTGTAATTATTAAACATTTAACAAATTATCCCTTACTAAATACTCAAATGTATTTTAATTTTTAATAAACCATATTTTTGAATATGGACGGAACAGAAACACAATCATAGTGTACCTGAAATGCCTATAAAATACGCCGTGTGATCATTATTATATTATTGTTATTATTATTGAAACACCCTTAAATATGTATATTACAACTAGAAATACATACAAAATACAGGGAAATCGGAACACACGACAACGGTGCCCTTAAATTTCTCAACATTATATTTTATTATTTAAATACATTAACGTAAGTTTTACAATAATACTTTATAAATGTACAAAACACTCAGTAAGTTAACACAATATAGAATTACAAGTTCTAGAAAAACGTATAAATTAACGGCCGACCAGACATATGGTTACTGAATCCTATATACATATCACATACACATACCTTGTATAATTTTAATACTTTTATTAAATAATACAACAACTATTTTATTCTCAAGTTAAATTTGTGCTAGATAAAATTGATTGTGATAGTATACTACTATTTGAATACGAAGATAATTAATTAAGGTATCTACTATTATTTTTATCTTAAAGACACACACATAAACAAGGATTTTTAAATCAAACATTTGACATGTATTGACATTATTAGTAGATTTACTATGTACTTATAATTTAAGTACCTGATCATTGCAGCATTTGATGATTAAAATGTAAAAAAAATAATTAACTAGCTATGAATTGGATATCGATGCCACAAAGTTTAAAAATTACACAATAAACATAATGTAGACATTTAGTTTTAGAAGCTAATCTAGTACAATCACTCTATACTTACAATTTTGCCATTTTATATAAATCTTTGGTTTCTAGTCATAATTCATAAGCTTGAAATCAAATACAACTAGTAATAATTAATGTTACATTTCCTACAAATAAATGCAATATGTCTCTTTGACGATGAACACAGTGTATATATATATATATATAAATACGTACACATAATATATGCTAGTTGTTAATTGATATGATTAAATATTTAATTAGTTAAATGCCATTAAATCAAAGTGTGTAAGACAATCCCGCCTCTCTTAGTTTAAGTTTAAAAACTACCGTTAAATAATAATATCAACAAATAAAATGTGTCAACTATTATAAAACTAGTTATAAATGAAAATTTATAATAGACAAACAAAAATATGAGGTATTCTAATGAAGCATTAAGTACTGTTTGACATCTCGAGTTTAAATATTAATAAGTTTGCACGCAATTGTAGTATACAAATACCATAAATTTAATATTGCTTTATAACTGTTTATTTTTTTCGTACATTATAATTTAGTAACAAATAAATAATAATAATATGAATTATTCTACTATTTTAAACGTTGAGTAAAATAAAAATTGTGTTGATTTTACAAAGATGTTTTTTTTTTTTTTATATTTATTTTTGTAAACACTTAGTTGATAGAAAAAGTTTTTCAAAAGTTTCAAGTGGATATATATATATATCGATCGAAAATCTAATCTAGTTGATACTTTGAAGAGGTCACACTTCGATTTTTTTTTTATCTAGTTTTCCTAAGTGTTAGAAAGAACTATACCAAAGTGTTGAAAGAAATATAAAGAAAGTGCAACTGTAACTAATCTATGCACTGAATCACTGATAATAACTTTATCGAAATTGATGCGTTAACTGTTACTTAAAAAGTTAAATTAGTACAATTCGTGAACAAATGTTAAGACTTTAAGTATTAAGGTTGACGTACAAAATAACGAATCGTTTTTGATTATTATTGTTTTGCTTAAAAATTAAACCTTGTGTAATTAAAAAAGTTAAATTATATATTTACTGACAAAAAATGACTGAGTCAATTAGGTACTATAAAAATTATTTATGTAAATGTTGTTTATACGTAGATAAGTTTTAAAAATGTTTTTGTTTCAGTAGGTATACAATATTTTGGTTTTTCATTTTAAAACAATTAATCAACAAATAAGTTTAAAGTAAATTATGTTTCTTAATAATATTTAAGATTATTATAAATCGTAATGTTTAAAGTTAAATATAGAGGTTAAAAAGTATTTTAACCACTTTTTTAAATATCTGAAAAACAACTAAACAGTAGAGAATTTTACCCTTCGCGTCACAGTTTGTATTTAAGCTGAGAGTTAAGGGATGCGGAAAAATGTATACATGTACTTCAAATTATGTACAACAGTGCAAAGTTGTTTTATATTTAGGTAAAAGTAAAGGGCAAAAATAACGTCGAGTTCCTGACAAGAAATTACGTCTGGATTTTTCATAAAAAAAAAAAGCCGATTACCCATAAAACAAAACTCGGAATGCAAACCGCATTTAAAACGAATGTTTATGGTAATATTCGACGTTTATATTTCTACTATTTTATTTGTATGAAATGCTATCTCAAATATTTTTTATCGGGTCACTATCGTTCAAGGCCATTAAAACGAACGTGATTTATCGGAGTTTTATAGTTCTTTATTTTTATTTATTTATTTATTTTCCAGATACATATTCTTGGCCATCTATACGGCCGAAATGGTTATCAAAACCATATCAAAAGGATTTATACTAAATAAGTACACATACTTACGAAATCCATGGAACTGGTTGGATTTCATCGTCATCACGTCGGGTTATGCAACCATTGGCATGGACGTCGGGAATCTAGCTGGGCTACGTACGTTTCGCGTGCTCAGAGCTCTGAAAACTGTATCTATTATGCCAGGTAATATTTATTTTTCCATTTATATGAAATGATGTTTGGTATTTTCATGTAACTTCGTTGTGTATACCTAAAAAATGCAACCATTATTGGCTTCATAACTTTAAGTAAAAATATTAAAAATATTCTTGTATTCCTTCAGGCAAAGATTTTTTTATTTTTTTATTTTATTTTTTTTTTTTTGTCACAGATTTCAAAATTAATTTAATTTAGATTATTATTTAGGTAATTTTTAGCGCATAGTAATGCTATAAAATACTGAAAATTGTTTTATTTATTATTTAGAATTGTACTAGTATTACTAGTATTATGCTTAATAATATAATAATTGCGCTATTTGTTTTTGATACGATGAAAACATCTAAATGAATAAAACTAATTCAATAAAAAGTTTAAACTTAAATTTACCTCCACCTAAATACAATCCGATCCCAGAACAGATAAGAATTAAGATAGTTGAAAAACGCAGAGCCCAAGCCCTTTATCAACGTAATCGTCTTCCCCCTCATAAACAAAGTTACAATCAACTATCAAATTCACTGAAAAAACTGATCGTTAAACATAAGAACACAGTTCTCACTTATAATTTAACCAATCTTACTCAAAAAGACGGTAGCCTTTGGAAAGACACTAAGAAAGTCTTAAGATATAATGCTTCAAATTTACCATTAAAAAAACCCGACGGAAGTCTTACCACCTCTAATACTGAAAAAGCCGAGTTATTCAAACAACACCTCTTTCAAATATTTTAACCACACTCAGATATTGTAGATATAAAAAACACAAATATTGTGAATTCGGATCTTAATACTGCTCTTCAACTCTCGCCTTCAATTAAGTCTTTTTCACCTAATGATATTAAATATCTCATACACAAATACTCACTTAAGAAATCGCCTGGTTTTGACCTAATTACTGCCAAACTTGTTAGGAATCTTCCAAAAAGAGCCATTGTTTATATAGCTCATATAAACAACGCGATTTTCAGACTTTCGTACTTTCCAATTCTCTAAAATGGCAACTATAAACGCCGGAGTTCCTCAAGGTGGTAACTATAATTTACGGTTATTTAAAAAAATTAACTGTTAAATAACATCAATGTCACACAATAAAGTGTTTTCTAAACATAAAATAGATTAAACATAGTAGTTGATGTAGTTAAAACTTTTCATGATTTGATTACTCAGTTTTATTTATTGTACATATTTTAAAAATGATAACGGATTAATAAAAGTAAATGGTATTAAAAATGTTATTTTTATAAAATAAACTACAATTCTATTTTATTTTTATGATATCATATTTTTATATTTATCATAAAATTATTTATTTTTAAACTATGATAAATATAGTAAAATATAGAAACATCACCAGTATGCGTGATTATATTTATTTAGTAATTATAAATTTCTATTTTTTAACTCGATAATGAAACGTTCAAAGTATGTATTTATGATGATTTTTCATTTATTGAAACACGAACAACACAAAACTTTTTTGAATCTAAATGTATAATACCAACTTACTTGTTCTTAGTGATTCTAGTAATTCGTTGTGTAATTTTGGATATGTAGTATGAGCTTGGTAAATATAATTAATAACAATAATTTTGTAATATGTAATTTAACTACATTAATTGTGTGAAACAAATCAAAACATTTAAATTAATATTTTCAGATAAATTAATTGAAGGTTTATAAAATATGTTTATACATATAAGGTTAAATAAGTAAGAACTTAAAATATAAGTATAGTTTAACGCAAAAATTTAAATATGGCCCAATCTTATTTAAGACAATATTCTTTAACACAACAGATTTCTTTATTTTTTCTTTTTTTTTTTTTGTATGTGAAAATCTCAACTGATCTTAAAATGAGTACTTTTCAATCTATTTTATCGAAATTCTTATAATAGATCGTTAATGAAACTTAAATTACTAATACAAAAAATAAGAATAATGAATAAGAACATAAATCACAATTAAAAGTACATTAGTTTTATATCAAGAAGTAAGAATTACTTAATATTAAACTTGGATTTCCATTGATTGCTAAATTAGATATATTGTCTTTATTAGTTTATAAAAAGAATGTCTAAGAACTTTAAAAATATATTTTAAGGCATATTAATGTAAAACAATATATATATATATATATATATATATATATATATAATTGAGTTCGAATAAAATAATATTATATTTTTGCTCTTCAATAAAGTCAATTTTTATTTTGATTTGAAAAATGTATTTTGGGGAAAAACTTAGAAATGTGATTTCTAAGCTTATTTATTTTTATTTATTTATAATTACTAATCAATTCTATCAAGTGTTTTATGGAAAAGCTTATAACAGGTTCTGTATATTATTTTATAAAAACTTACTTGCAATGTTTATAATTTATCAAAGTAAATACTTAGAAATCAAAAGAAATTTATATTGATTTATTCGTTCTTTTATATTAACCAAATCTTCATTTTGGTCTTCTATTAAAATACTTTAACAATGGAAGCAAATAAATTTTTTAAAAAAAATGCTGAATTTACAAACACTGGTTATTACAGACAATAGCTATTATAGTTTCCGCTGACCGTCCCCGTCGCTTAAAAACTTTCAGACATTATCATTACCGGTATAACTTTATGGAGTGAAAACTTTCGTGTGGTGGAACACAATCGTGTACAGAACATCCTTGTTTTTCAAATGTCCGTTATCTCCGTAAACATGGCGTAGCTTGTTTTCCTGTATACATATTATCATAGACAAACATTGTTTGAACAAGTAAAACAACAATGAAAATTATACACCTTTTCTCAAATAGTGAACCAAAAATTAAGCAAACAACTAGAAAAATACCAATTCCAAATAAATAGGTATATCGTTAATCGAAATTTAGTGTACTTACATTATACCTACACATTTTTATACGACATAATCGTTATTGTGATACATTATTGTAGTTATAAATACATTAATACTAATAAAAAAAATATAATGATATACTGGACTATTATATTCTTTTGATATGTTAAGAAAACAATTTTTATTAATCTTACCAGAGTTGAAATGTATTTAAAAGGAGATACTTATTATTTATTTTTTTCCAAATTCCTTTAAAAAATGGCAAAATGGTTTTCTAAAAATATTGATTTAAAAAAATTTGAGTTTATACAATTACTGTACTCATAATATTAAAATATTTTAAATTTGGATATGAGTAGGATGCTAGGGAAATTATTTTATACCCAACATATTTTTACTGCACTACTCCGCATCTTTAAACTTTAAATGCTTATAAATAATAAATTATTTGTTTAATATTTAATATTTTTGTATTTAAATGTTTAAAAAAATATTTCATTACAGAATTTAAAACATTAAATGAAGTAGTTTGTGTTAAAAATTCTGTATAAAATAAAAAGATTGGAAGTTTGACACTTTTCTCTCTACGCTCATCTTAGTGCTTAGTAGTATGTTTTATTTTTACATTATTTTTAATTTGAAAGTAGACAATGAATTTAATTTACTTTTAAATGTATTAAAATTATCAAGTCTACTAATATATTTATTTTTTATACTTTTATGTCAATAATTTTGTCAAACATTAGAAATTTAAAATTTAAAATTACAAAAAAATAATACTAAGTATTCCTTATTAAAATAAAATTTTATGAGTTTGAAAATTCTTTTGATAAATTCTATTACATGATAAATTTAAGTTCCTTAAAAATATATAGTATAGAAATAAAAATTGTATAAAGGGTTTCTAAAAATATATTTATATGTATGAAGTGGCATGAAATAATTCATACGTAGGTAATAATAAAAATGAAAAATACGTAACCAACGCGTCGTGGATGTATAGTGATATAGCTAACAATACTATCCTCATGTAAGATTTATAACTTTGATTTATTTATATTTATATTAAGTTACTTTGAAATATTTATCATGATACGTTTTCTGAACTTTATTATGTTTTATTAAATATTATTTTTTTATTTAATTAATATTAGATTTTAAGTATATTAAAAGATTTTGGACATAAAATATCTTAATTTTATCATCTTTATAATAATTTACATGTGTTCTGTATTTGTTCCAATTATACTTACATTTTTTACATTTATAGTAATTTACATAAAATGGTTCTCAGTTGACTTAATAATTAATATATTACAATATTTGTGTTGACTTATACACTATTATTTAATGTATATTTTTGTAATTTAAGTAGTATTTGTTATAGTTTTTAGAAAATGGTATAAAATTATTCATAGCTTTAACAATCACTTAATTTTGCTATGATAAATAAAATATTGAATGTTTTTGTATAAGATTTTTGGTAGTATTGCTATCACAGGAAAATGGTAGGAAGGAAAATACCATCTATACATTTATTTAGGAAATGTAGAAAGGAAGTTATTGAAATGCGTATAAAGGAAATGAGATACTTATACCTACAAAGACAGTTATATACAGGACGAATTAATTTTTTTATAAGATAAGATAAGAAAAATGGTTTTAGTATTCAACAATTAATATATGTATATCAAAAAATAAAACTATGTGTCTAATAGCAATCGCCAAATCAATAAAAAATATTTTAATATGTTTATTTTTCTAATATAAATTCAAATAAAACTATAGAAATATTGATTTTGAGTCAATATAATTAAAACATCCATTAAAGTGACCTACTCAATGATGTGGTACATTCTATACCTTCTGTACAGCAGAGCGGTCACCTACTTACTATTTTTATTTATTTTTTTAACATTATTGTTTTAATTTTACACTGATTTTATTCCTGGCCATTTATAATCGAATTAAAATACAATTGTAATAATAAAGAACTACAATATTACTCAATATGTTTGTAACTTGGTTTTGTGTTCAGATATTCTATGGCAACAACCATTGTTTTATTCATAGACTTAATAATCCATATATATGTATTATGTATGCATAACACACATATATATATTTTTAATAGCTAAAATAACTCAGGTTTATACAAAGTATAATTCATTTTAGTAAAGATTGTACGTTTGCGTGTAAGTATATCACGTTACTATGGTTACCATGTATATTAACAGTGAACAAATTTTAAATTAGTAATTTATTATACCGTTATTGTGGCTTCCCCTATTTTAGATTTTGAGTGCACCTAGTTACAAAAAACTATAGGGTTTGTTACAATTTTTTTTCATTATTTCTTTGCTTGAGGTAAACCTTTAAAACCTTCAATGGGCAGTGTAATGTACGTCTATTACACTACGTTTGTAAAAGTCATATAAATAACCATAGAAAATATTTTAACATCTGTTGCCTTTTGTTTTCTACCTATAATATCATATTATATTTTCACTATATGTATGTAATATGTAGTATTAAAAATTTTATACTTGATTTGAATTTGATCTCCTCAAGACTTGACTTTATTATTTCGTCAATCTAATATGTTTAAGGTTTAAAGAAATTTAATTGAAACTTTAAACATGCTTAGTATTATGGTTTAAAGCATTTTTACCACAACAACGGCGTGTTTGACGTCGTGATAAGCATTCTTTATTTTTATTAGGTATCTACTATGATCTCCGTCGTACATTATCTTTAATACTTTTTAGGTAACCGTATAGCGTATAGGATAAGTATATTCATGACAAAATTAGTGAGACGATAAACAATTTACTTTGATACATTCTTTTGTTAAACTATCTATGCGAACGTATGACTGCGGCTGAGCACTTATTCGCTTGTGTAAAATTAATACCGTTTGTAACAATTTGGAAACATCGATGCATGCACTTGCAAAACTTTTGTTTAAAAACTATTTATCGTGATCTCTCGTTTGTTTCAGTGGATTCAAGTCAAAATATATATAATACGTACATTGTTTATCGATATACTGATAATTTCAACTACTCATATACATTACAATAAATTAACAGGCATATTATGGTGTGGTTTGAGACTCGATGTCACAATTCAATATCACATTACTAGGGAAGCGGTATGAACAGTCATATAGTATGACAGCAGTCGATGTGTGTGGTTTACGCAAAACTGCAAAATTTGACGAATAAATAAACGATGAAATACATGCCAGTATAATATATATTTCCGTCCGCATATGGTAATCCAATATGTATTCCTTAACGCGTGATTAGCTACATTATCTGCCGATATTTATACAGAGTGATTTACCAAACATGGTTTTTTTTCCATTTAACAATAAATTTATTCAATTTCAGATTTTTGGAATTTTTAAATATATGTGCTTAAATAATGTATTTTTGAATTCGATATATTTTTTTCCTACTCAAATAACGTCTTGTGGTGATACAAACTTTTGTTTTTAACTGAGAACTCACATTTTTACTGTTAATTACTTAGTGGATAATCTTAAACATTTTAAAACTTCGAGGTACTTAATTCAAAAATCATACAAATATATTTTTTTTTTTTTTTTTTGATCAAATATATTTATATTATGAATAAAAATCATTAAAAATAGTTGAAATAAAATATAAAATAGATAAGATATTGGATTTAGTGTTAATTTTACTTAGACCATTTTTAAAATCAATAATAAATAAAATTGATAAATTAATATAAATTACTTTAAATTTTAATTTTAAGTCATTATAACCCTTATCTTCCTAACCCATTATCATAGAACAATTATCTTTGATAAACTAGTTAAATTACTCAAAAACTAATTGTTGAATTTTGATTTTGATGCGTAAACATTTTTAAAAATCTTGATAGTTAACAGTAAAAACGGCAGCTTCTCACTTTGAAAACAGAAATTTGGATTGCCACAAGACGTGAAGGAGTACAAGAAAATTTAAAAAAATTTAAAATATGATGTTAAAGTATGTTTAAGTTTTAAAAATCAAATCTTGAAAAACTATAGTATATTTATGAAAAAAAAAAGTGGGTAAGTAGACTTGACAAATCAGCTTGTATATAATTTGTAAACATATATAGTAATTCTTCTATTATAGGATTTTGAACGTTGCTAAACTAACCAAACTTAAAAGTTAGAACAAACATTCTTCTAACTACTTTTATAGGATAAAGTTGGGTCAGGTTAAGAATATCGAGGGTTGTGAGATAAAAGGATCACCCTAGCTGCTGCATATAATATACGACGGCTATAAGGGTGTTTAAATCGTGTCAGTTGTGCTTGCCAGAGGTAAAGCTGTTTTATTTTCCATTCACCAAAAACTGTAGTACAGTGTATAAAGTATGTTGACGAGGGGAGTATGAAACTATACGCACTATATATTCATTATTCATGGTTGGAACAAGGTAACGGAAAAAAGTGTCTAGATACACGATGCAAGATATTTTTATTTTAGGAATTTAGGTACAAGATAAAGTTACACAGAAAAAAAGTTCAAATGTATGTCTTTAAAATATTACAGATATTACAAAGTACCTTTAATTTTTATAGATTACTAGATTTTATTTTATTTTTTTTAATTGATCAAAAAGTCAATGACATAAATATTTACTATTTAAATTATTAAAAACAATGTTTTGTAAATCATTTATATTAATACAATATTAACTAAGCTATGAAAATAATAAATAATAAATAACAAATTATTTTTTCGGATATTTTAACTTGCAGGTCATAAGTTAAAAAAAAAGTATTAAGATGTTTTTAAATTTAAAATTTATCTTGTATTGCTACTAAAAAGATACATCATGCAAGATATAGTTTGTATTTGATGAGATACTGTCTAACCTTATCTATACAATAAACAATTTCGGCACGAACTTGGACTGACTTGTAAGCGAACACTAAACAAGTATAACGTACGGTAATCAATCTGATACGCGTATCGGGCGACCCGATAACTGCTGACGCAGCTTGTCCGATTGGATGATAAACGGTTCATTTTGGTCCATCAACTTAATGCATTCACATTCGTAATGTATTTTTGTATTGTTTACGGTTATGTTCAAAATAATTGAAGATATATGGCTGAATAATTTACGAAAAAATATCGTATTATTATTATTGTATAGTAAATTATATAGTGTACTTGCTGTCGTGAATCCGAAAACCTTTCCCAGGTAGGTATAAAATTAGTAGAAATATTTTTTCTTGGGCATCACTTTCTTCAGAAAAATATATTATAAAAATGGTTACATTGCTTATAGTTTACAATTAAAAATATAAAAATAAAATTAAAATAATAGAACACTACAAAAATCTACAAATAGTATTGTATTTAGCTTAAGTCAACCTGTAGGTGTACAAATTCAAAAAAAAGATACAATTCAACGATAAAAATATTACAATGTAATTAATTATTTTATGTTTTTAAGAACCCGAACTTATCAATAACTTTTTTTTAATAGCAATTACAACTAATATTTTTATCTAATGAAGTCAATAAATGTTAATAAAATTAAGTTGTTTGATGTAGAAACTTTTGCCGACATATCTAGAAAATTATTTTTTATTGATTGTATTCAGAATACTACAAATTATATTTAGCATTCATAAATACTTTTCGTTTACGATATGATTATATCTTGGTATTGTTGAATGTCGTGTTAATGATGTTTATTATTATAAAATTTGTTCGTTTATGTATCTTGGAAATTATTTTACTCGTGGCCCAAATAAAAAAATATACTTTGTATTTTATGATTAACCCATGAATCATTTTACGAACATGTAGTTTTTATAAAGCGTCTTTAACTTAGTGTTTATTCCGATTCCCAATAGAGCTATTATTATTTATTATATTTATATTATTTATTTTACTATTAATTTAATAGAAAAAGACATTGAATAAACTACGAAGTATAAGATTTGACTTATTAAAAAGAAAAACTTCTATTAGAAAAAAAAATAAAAATAAATATTACAATTACTTTAAAATTTAAGGGTTTTTTAAAAGAAATGTATAATATTAAATTCAGATGACAAAAGAAAAAAAAACAATGATTTTTGTTTTTTTTAAACATAAATAATTTAGCTTTATTTAGAGAATTAAATCCAGAAGGTATGATATTTTTGTTAATTAAATAGTCAAACTATAATTATTGTATAATATGTAGCTATCAAAAATTCAAAATACAACACTAAATGATGGGTACAATATTCTTTTATTATATGGTTATAAAAAACTATTTAAATATGTTATTATAACTCTATAAAATATTGTATTTTTATTTATTTAAAATATACAATGTATAATATAAAAAAATTAATTTTGTAGCCATCGCATCGCAAAAATTGTATTTCTAACCTTTTAATATAATTTATTCAATAAGTAATTAATTTTAAATTAAAATACAAATTATAGTTGAATAAATATTTTATTTCAATGTTGTGTTTATACTTATTCTTAAATATTTCAAAAAATATTGTGTGTAAGTTCAATAGATTTTAATATTAACAAAACACATGCAAATGGTTTGCATAAATTAATTAATTAATTAATACCGTTGGTTGATTAGTTGTTTTATATTAACTATGTGTACATTATACGGGTATTTTGATAAATAAACCAATCCTCACAACTTAATTGTTATTCCATAATTTACTGATTTATCATTTATGACGTTTTATGTATTATTATACAGGTCTCAAGACGATCATCAATGCCTTGTTGCACTCATTTCGCCAATTAGCTGAAGTCATGACACTGACCATATTTTGTCTAATGGTATTTGCTTTGTTTGCGCTTCAAGTATACATGGGTGAATTGCGGAATAAATGTGTTATGATTAACGAAGGCAACGTGAATTGGCTAAAGTAAGATTGATAAATATACAGAATAAAAAAAATGTTTAACTTTAACAACTAGAACAATAGTTTTGTTATCAATATTTGTACTATTGATTATAAAACGTTGATTTACATACATTATTCATTATTATCTACAAAATATTATTGAGAGTCGAATAATATTCCAAATAAACTTGCAATCAAATTTAAAATAATATATTTTATTTTAATACATTATAGGTTAAAATTATTATTTTTTTTATAAAAATTAAATTTATCAAATCATCTGATTGCCAAATTATTTTTGTAGTAATAATATTTAATAAGTTGTTTATTTTAAGTGTAAAAGACTATTTTTTATGATAAACGTTTTCAAAAAACTTTTTTTTAGAAAATTTATAAATTTATGTTATTAAACTATTATAGTTCAATAGTACTCATTGAGATTTTTAACGTATTAAATACATATATAAAATAATTCGAATTTAGAATAGATAAAAAAATATATTGGAAACTTTTTTATTATTATAATAAATGTTTTTGAACTAAATATGGTATGCCTTATAAGTTAGGGCTAGAATTTTAATAACCTAAAAAACCTAAAAGATGATCAAAAAAATGACTCAATAAGAATAAATGACCTCATAAAATACTTGTAAAAAATAATTATATAATAAATTAATGAATAATAATTTATATTTTTAAGTAAACAAATAAATTCATCTTCTGGTATAATGGCCAGCGTTATTTGTTGTGAAACTAATATATTTTGAAATAAAATAATATTGTCAAATTTAAACTAAACCTTAATTTAATAATAAATTGATTAAGATAACACGTAATCAAACATTATTATCGGTTATTGTTCGATTAGTTGAAAGAGTATATTTTATATTATATACAAACGATTGGTATTTTAAAATATTAAATATTTTTAAAAAATATGATTTTCTTTTAATGTTGTATCTTTATTTGTTTGTACAATAATTTATAACTATTATTTAACAAATCTATTTAAAAAATTATAAAAATATTACCCAAATTTCAATAAAGTATAAAAATGACCTCAAATTAAAAAAATTACAAATAATGCAAAATAAAAACTATATATTTTAACTTGTAAATGATTAAATCACATTTTGTGCTTGAAAAGCTGTATCCTGTAAATCCTAAAAAGAAATACTCTACTATCCTAGCCTTACAGTAATAACATTACCTAATGTTATAACAAGGTAATCATATAACAACATTTATAATGTTTCAAGTTGTATCTTTATAGAATCAACCATTTATCTTATTATTTCAACCATATAATACATATGTACATTATGTGCAATTTGCACAATGTATGATATTATGGGAAATAAAATTGAATAGTTGATTATTTTAAACTTTTATTACATTTATGTTTTGATGATGGGATATGTTTACGGTTGTTACTCTTGAATCTAAGAGGCCATAAATCCAGTGCAATTGAAAATTTCAAAGAAATAAGATTCTGTGAAATATAGTGTTTTTGTAAATATGTCCACAACAATAGAATGAAAATAAATAACATCCGAATGAGTAAAAGGCATAATACTAAGGAAACAGACAATAGCGATTTTTTTCTCTGGGTGTCCATTACATTTTTTTTTTGCTCGTTTTATTTATTTATTTATTTTTTTTTTTTGTTCTTTAATTTCGCATCGTCATCACAATCCTTTGCATTACACAAAACAAAATAAAAATACTAGGCCATTTTACATTTATAATTGTATAATAGTGGGAAAAATTCATAAAAATGTTTTAATATTTTGTTTGAAACTAGAAACAGAAAATCGGTTTCATTATCACAACTTTTGGAAAATAGTTACGCAATTTTCGTTATAGAAAAAAAAAAGATTTTAGTAACAAATAAATATATTTTTCACTACACTAATATTCTAATTTAAACTTAAAATTATAAAAAAATTTATCATTTTATTGTTATAAATATTATTTTGTATAAGAGTTATCGATGTATAATAAGAACAATAATGCGGATAAAAATACATTTTTTCAGGCAAATATAATTATTAATTCGAAAATCTCTCTAGTTCACAATTAAAAAAATAATCTAATTATAATTTATTAAAATATAAATTCATTGTATAATTAATACATTTTGAACATTACACATGCATATAAGTTCATTTTTATTTTATAAATTTATGACCGTCGTGGCTTATCTTGAACATCCGTTAATACGACGTATCTGTTGTGTTTTATTAAATAGATTTAATTGATATTTGCATCAGAGTAATAGCGAAACCTACATCAATAAACTCTAGCATACTTAATGAACCACCCACGTCTATTAGATTCATATACTTGTAAACCCTTATAAGTACATTGAATAAAAACAATACAATAGTGGAAGATAAATTGGATCCAGATGTTGCATTACACAAAAGGTTCTCAAAATAAATCTGAAACCATAGGATAAAAAGAAGACCATTGTAACACTGTTGTGCATTACATAACTAGTAGAGGTTGAAAATCGGCATTTGGGTCTATAAGTTCGATTTTCATTTGTACATTATTCCACACATGTTTTATAAAAAAAAACTTGAAAAAACAGCTTAGGACGTGGGAACAGATAATATATTGTTAACATCTTATTGTACTATTACGCCATTATATTGATGTTTGTCTTTTTTTTTTTAACCGCAAGATTATATTATAATTTACTACCAATGATTCGGTTTAAATTGTATTGGTTTTGCATTCAAAATAAAATCTAAATCAAAAACATAATATTTGAGTTATTAATTTATTGCACATTATTTGAGACGTACATATGCAATATTAATAAATTAATCTATTGTTATTTATTTAAAGTTAGTTTACTACGACGTCCATGCATATGTAATTGATTTTATTTAAAATTCGTATTTTTAATTAGAAACAAAATATTCTTTTTTCCTTTAAACATTTGTAATATTTAAATGTAAAATATGCATTAGTCTTATCGTACATTATATTATTGAATATATTATTTGAAACTTTAGTGTTCTTAAGTAAACTAATACGTCTGTAGATAATGCCAGCCCAACGCAATGTCCTTATTTGTTCTACTATTATTTACACATTATTTTCCCTTCAGGTTAACCCATTTAATAAACTCGATTCGTTTTGTTTGCGTATCGTTTTCGTATACCTACTATGCATACACCGCATACCACACTTGCCTACCAAGAAACTGCGAAATGTACCTTTGGCGATTTATGGTTTTTAATCTCTGGGGTTTCAATTTTCTGTGTTTCGTGTACATATTTTTTATTTTCTCTTTCTTTACACTGTTTGTATTTCAGATGGATAAATAAAGAGCAAAACTGGCTGTCAGACAACGAAGGTAACCCAATGCTATGCGGCAACGTAACTGGGGCGAGGTGAGAAAAGCAAATTAAATATTTCAAAGATTCGTACACGCAATTTCACTTCGGGGGGTTTTAATGTGCTATTATAAAACTAATCGTTCAAGTCGAATGATTAGATAGTGGAGGTAAGTTTTTTTGGTTCATGATTTTTTTACGTACACCGGGCCTAATTCCGTTTTCTGAGTAACATAAATTTTCATTATGCATTATTCACATAATAATTTATTAGAAAGAATAACAACAGTCGAAGTAAAAATCACAAAAATAATATGTATAAAATGTACATAAACAATTACGTCAATAATCAATCAATACACATGCATAGATATTATAATTGTGATTACAAAATTATATATTCAATCGAATTGTGGTACAAATATTAAATGCAATTTGAATACGTGTATTACTCACACAAGCCAATGGACACAAATAGTATAATAACTGCAATATTATATATCTATCTATAATATCTAATGATAATAAAATATAATTATTAGATAAACCTTTTTAATAATGTAAAACTTATTTTAATGGATAGCGTGCATTAGTAGAATTATATTAAAGAGTTAATTTATTGTAAAGTTTATTGGCAGTTCCTTATTACTGTTGTTTTCAGACATTGCCCAGTTGGTTATGTGTGCCTTGGTGTTGGCCCTAACCCCAATCACGGTTACACGAATTTCGACAATTTTCTGTGGTCTATGTTGACTACGTTCCAGCTAATTACACTGGACTATTGGGAAAACGTATACAACATTGTAAGTACTTTTATACAATAATACCTTTTGATATTTTCAGTTGAATTAAAAACAACATAAGTGGTGTACATTTTAATACCTATGTAGTATATACATCATGTTTTATTACGTATTATTTATTATACACATTCTACGCGTAATCGTCTTACCGTTTCCCGTTGTTTTCATTTTTTCTCTAAAAAAATCCTTTAACAGTTATTGAAACCTTAAAACAAAAAGTCTCAATGTTTAATAACCACTATGAGGAATCATATAAGCTTTATCAATATAATAACTAAAACTAAAGTAAGTTTAAAGTTTATAGCCATAAAAATTATTTTGATAATATTTTGGAAAATCTTTCTATAAAAAATTGTATTTGTACGAAAATAAAACTTTGTTACATTAGGTTAGAGTATTAGACAATTGAAATAAACATAATGTTTGAGCTTATCGTATTTTAAAGATGATAAAATAATGTAGGAATGCTTATTTGATGGTGATTTTTACAAATGAGTGTATGTGTTTAAAAACAATTTCGATTCATATTTTAATACTTGATAAATATTATAATAATGTAAAGAATAAAATATAAAATAAAACATAATAAATATTGACATACACTTATTATTTGTATACAGTCCGTAATAAATTCACAATGAGGATATTCCAAGAAAGCTACATATATTATGCATGTCTTTTACAAAAGGCAATGAACTAGCTGGAATCATATCAAAAAGGTCTTGGCAAACGCGTTTTATAATGATTCGGCTAGACGAATTATATATGGTTTATTACGCAATAAAGTCTGTCGAGATATAGTTTTCGGACATAACCACGGAAGGTTTCAACAAGTTGATGATTACAACTTTAATACGACTTTGTTTGAGCAATAAATATTGAATTTTATAATAGTCTTAAAAGCTACTTATTTTTTTTAAATTTTGATCATTGGAATGAATAGTTTTTATTTAAAATATTCATAGTTTAAGATTTTTTTCGTTATTATAGATAATAATAAAAATGATCAAATAATAGTATATGGCTAAACCAGGTCATATATTGTAATAGAACAACCTAATCTAATCATTTTTTCTCGTTAAATTATCTTTAATAATTGTTCTTAATTTGATCCAAGTAATTAATTGATAATTAAATAACTTCAAATAGGTACTTATCTTAATTTATTATATACTATGAAAATTATTTATGAGTATTTCTATGAAAGTATTTAAAATTTTAATTGATTTTATAAAATGTATTTCTTTATTATATACTATTTAATCAATTTAATTTACAGTTTAACATTTTTTTTTTTTTTTTAAGAATAAAAGAAAGAACTCAAAAAATACAATATTTCTTCGAGTACTCAAAGTCGGAGTAAATTAAATTTGTATTTAGTTAACAATAATAAATCATATATAACTTACTCTAACACCAAAAAGGAGCAAAGATGTGACTTTCATAAAATTATTTTTTAGCTAATTACTCGTATTATAAATAGAGCTAAATTTTTCCAATTTTTGAAGCCCTTAAATGTATTTTTTCCTCCATTATTCTTTGAGAAACGCAAGATGAAAAGGTTCATAACTCATAGTAGATAGCTTAAATACAAAAATAATTTTTTTTCAAATGATAACTAAAAAAATGTTTTAACTAACGAAATTATTATTCTTTCGTACTAAAAAGGTTCTATGAAAATGATGTGTGCATCTATTTTTTCCCCTTAAAAAGATTCTATATTATATCATTCATATCATTCACCTATAAAGGTTCTAACTTTCATTATTCATATTAAAAAATATTATGTATGAAGAACTTTTTAAAATAAAATTAATAATAAATTATTAAATATTGACTATCTTAAAAATTCAATCAAAATTTTATCGAATTATAGCTTATAAATTTATTATAATAAGAAATCTATCTAATTTTATTATGATTTGAAAGTGGTATTAAATTATAAATTTTCTAACATCAAAATACGTTTTATAAAAATTTCAAAATCAACACACATAGAATATATACATTTTTAGGTCTCATAATATAGTAAATTATATATTAATTATGATATTCAGCATTTAGTATTATTTCAATTATTACATCTTTAATTACTCAAACATTTTAAAAACAAATTTTTATTATTAAATACAAACAAAAATATATCATATCATAATATAATATACATATGTTAAGTATTAAAACTCTATTTACTGAAATTTATGTATTCCTGTTTGTTGTTGCCTGCCAATGCAATGCGAACTACAACAATAATCACCATGAAATAATTCTGATTATCTGTGACGCGTACAAAATATAAATTCAAACCGTGCATTTAAAATGTATTTAAGGCGGAGTATTAATATTACCGACTGCTTTTAATACATCAAAATACAAACAGCAGTAGTGAAGTCGTTTGCCGTTTCCCGAGGCTAACGCATAACACTGTACCGACTTCCGCTACGCGTTATTCAGGTCACGCGACGCTTTTATAATATAAAATACCACGTCCATAAAAACTTTTCTGAAAAGGGATTTGTTTCGCCATCGCATCGACACTCCATCGATTCAAGTGTGTGTATACCGGTTGTTTTAGGTGTTGGCGACGTGTGGCCCGATGAGTGTCATATTTTTCACGGTAGTGGTGTTCTTCGGCTCGTTCTACCTGATCAATCTGATGTTGGCTGTCGTTGCCCTGAGCTACGAAGAAGAAGCGGAAATCACGCAAGAGGTAAGATTATGGCGTTTTTATTATTCTTATTATTATTATTATTATTATTATTTTTTATACATAATCTTTATTGAAGCATAAAATATTATAAAAAAAAAATTGTAAACTATTCTGACGATGATGGGTACTCTGTGTAGTGATGTACACCATGATTTTGATTTTACGATCGTTGTATGAGTCTGAAATATGTATATCAAAAATAAATACACTGCTACCGCTTCAGGCAATGCCAGAAAAAATTGAAATATTAAGTTGCAAAAAAAATTCACACATTTTCCTGTTCTTGTTTTCTTATTATTTTTTTTTTTATTATTCGCTAGTACGGCACTGGTGTTTTTAATCCTCGTTGTCAAGCAGTGTATAAGTAAGGCAAAAGTATACAAAACTAAGCCTTGGTGTAGCACAAATGCCTACACGAAGCGCCGTAGTATGAAAAATATATGAACTTACAAAAAAATATCTCGTTACAAACTCGACTTGCCCGCTATAGTTTTTGCTTTTTAAATCCACAACAAGAATATATCATCAAAACTATATTTGAACTTTTTTAGTGGTTTAAGTTTCTCTTTAACTTTGAGTTATTGCTTACATAACTATTGTATATAATAGTATAAAATATCTTTAGTTTCTATTACATTTTATATTGCTGGCATACATTCACTAAACTTCATTTTTTAATGAACTAGAAATTAATGTATACTAAAAAATAATTTATTTATGAAACTTATTGAATTTTTTAAGTTACTACACATAAAACAACTATAGAAGATAGCCTGAAAAATTATTGTTCATGTTATAATCAGAGTTTAATACTCGACATTATATAGTCTGTGCATATAGTTATTTATTTTTTCCTACATAATTGCTTTCTATATTAGATTTACCCTTCAGTGCTTAAATTTCCTTTGATAATAATACTAAATCGATAATTTAAATATTAATTTACTTTTAAGCTTAAGCATTGGTTCCATAACTGAGAAAAACTTGTAAACTGTATATTTAGTTTAATATATTAGTATTAATAGAAACTAAGGTTATGATACATATTTCACTATAATTTAACTAAAGTGAAAGCTAGACAATCATTGTTGTAGTTCAATATAAAATATAATATTCACATTTTTAGTACTTGGTGATATAAAGAAATAGTTATTTTGATACTAGTTAAATGTAAATTTAATCATTTTAAACAAATTATTTACTAATATTTTATTGGTTTTTTATTCAAAACATATTTTACTGATTTATTATGAAAATTAGTATAATAAATATTATAAATACGATTTATTGATTTTTAAATTATTGATATCGTATTGGAAGTAAATCGTGTGTAATTTAAATTAATTTAAAATTGGTTTATAATTATAAAAATATTATATTAAGTAACATGTTACAATTTAGACCTGTATTATTTTTTTAGTAAGTACCTATTTATACACTTTTTTAAACACTTTTTATTTAAGTTAATATTCATTGAAATAAATTATGAACATTATATTTCAATAACATTTTAAGATTAAAAAATGTTTGCATTTTAATCACAACTTTTTTATAAAGTATTTTATTATTATTTAAATTATTCTTAGATTTAGTCAATGATTATTAGATTTAACATTTTATTTAATTATAAAGTTTTTGTACACTATCTTTTGCAGACATTGGTAATTCAAAATTCTAAAAAAATGTGATTACAACACAGAAAATTGAGTAACTTTAATAATTTCCTACAAATCTTTTGCAGTTATGAGTTCAGTTCAGTGGCTATATTGTTATAAACTATGTCATTCCAAATTAGTTTTCAGCAAACACTTGTTCAACATATTATTGTGTCCAGTTAAACTATGTGGTGTACGTTGATGGTACTAACCTGTCAAGTTACTGAAATTAGTCTGTACATAAATCATTCTAGTATAAACTTGATGTGAAGCATATATAAATATGTATACACATAAATTGTGACCACGATGAATAATTAATTTTATAGAGTATGAAATATTAATAAGAAAAGTACTATCCTGCATAGTAGTAAAAAAAATATGTATAGGTAGCGCTGAATCTTAAGTAAATGTGTTTGAGTTCTTTCTCAAATATTTTTGAGTGTAGTACAGTAAAAAATAAAATAATGAAATCGTAAAATATATTTATTATTATATATTAATTTATAGAATTCTCGTAGGAATAAAAATAAAAAACTAACGTTATTGCCTAATTCGATAATTTTAAAATAACTAATTTATTTTAATTATAAAATAAATTATAATATTATAACAGTTTAAGTCTATAAAAGGTACAAAATTATATATTTTTATTTGATGCATGAACTGATATCATGTTAAGAAATAACTCAATACAATCCATTATGACTTGGTTATAATATAATATCTGTAAAGTAGTTATCTGTGTCAAGTTTCAGACTTTAAGTGTATTTACATGTATTTTCTGCTCTATAAATATATAGTTAATAGTTGTAGAGATCATAACACGATTTCTCATGCAAAATAGATTCCATTCTTTTTAAGATTCCTTTATACTGTTATACATCGTACAATACATTTTTGCAGATATTTTTTTTTTTTTTTTTTAATGATCATTATTGATTTACTTAAGATTATATGAGCTTATGTTGCTTAGTTATGTTTATAACTATATGAAAAGTAGACCATAAATTAATAGAGCTAATATTAAATATAATAATATATGTATAATATTAATTATTTATACGTAGTTTTATGATGGTGGATGTTCACCTCGTTGTTAGAAATTGTATAAGCTCTTAAAGGTAAAAAGTATCATATTTTCCTAATGCATTACCAATTTAACTAGTATTAACTAATACATATAATTATATCAAAATTATATGAATATAATTTCATAAATATAAATTTGTATTTTAAAGTTTTTTAATAATGTAAAAAGTTGTGTTTTTAATTAATATTTCTACAATTTAAATTGCCCTTTATAATAAACACAAATGATTTTTAGGTTAATGTACAATGAGATATGATTACGTAAAATATTATAAATTGCATAAGCAATCTTAAAGAAACGAAGGATTTTGTTTATCCGTTGATGAAAGTTAATGACAAGAAGTAGTGCGAGCTATACGATCGGTGTTGGTCACAACACCATGTTAAGAAGTGGATCGAATTTTATATGATATTATTAGTTAAAATTTAGTTTTTCTCCTTCGCTTGAAAGGAAATAAAGGGATTTAAAATGGATTTTAATTCACCTAAAAGTTAAAGAAATGATATTATATCATTGTTTGTTACAACCACAGTTACATTTGCATACAGACATGGTTTTATCGGGTTTTAGTAGTTCGGATTGTTGATTATGATATTTAGGATTGGTGGTGAAAATGAATGGCGATGGTTGTTGACGTTTTTGGTTTGATATGTTGTAGAGTTTACGACTCAGTCGTTTGCATATTATTGTATATATTTTGTAATTGACGGTGGGCTCATTTCACAGAAAAAGCTAGTATTTTTGCTGATTGTCTTAACAATTTTCAAAGAAAAGAGGAAGCGAGGTTTTTGTTTTCTGGTGGTTGATATTGGTATCATTTCTCATAAAATAAACTTTTTTTTTTTTATTGCTGGTATAATATTAGTCTTATAATGTTAAATTTGTTAGTAAATGTTAATAATTTGTTTACATAGCTTACATATTTCTTTTAATAACTAAGTTCTATTAATTAGCTGATTAAACTAAATTGTAAATTCTAAAATGTTGTCATAAGTATTATTAATATTATAAACCAAATATTAAGTATAAAAAAAATGTGTAATATATATTATATCTATTATAATATGTATAGTATATCAATTATAAATTATACGTAATTTATGGTCTTATTAAGTAATAACTGCAAAATTATTTTAACATTCATGAGTCATGACTCCGATATAGAGACTTATAGGAATTTATATGTATTTAATAATCATTCAAAACATTGTTAAATAAATATAAATTTATTTCGTGGTACTAGAAATCTAAAGCGTTCATTTTTATTTCGAATATTTTACATATACAGCTCTTTTTTTACCTTTTAAGTGTATATTTTGTTATATTTGTATTTTAAGTATATATTTTGTTAAAAAAAAAAAAATTTAAACAATATGTGACAGAGAATAATATTTAATAATAACTTTCTAGAAATCGAAAAAAAAATAGATTAAAATTATTAAATATAAACGATTAAATAATCTATCTATTGTGGTTTTCCCAATTATTTGTGTGTTGTAAAAAACATCAAGTCGGTCGATAAGGAATACGCTAAATACATTCAGATGATGTCAACCCATCTGTTAGTATTGTATTTGTTTTCGTCTAGCGCAGTGGTTCTCAACCTCTTCTATTCTACACCCCCTTTGTAGATTTGGTCTAGCGTATATTTAGTATAACTTGACTAGGTACAATTTTTTTATTGAGAAAATTAAGTTAAAAACCATTTATTTAATATTAAATAAATTAATAATTTTTGGGTTTTAAATGACAAATAAGATATTTTCAAGAGCATATTTTAGAATTTTTTCATATTTTTAGAGCATATATGATAATTTTTAAGGGCATTTATACATGCATATTTTGAGGTTTATTAAAGCATGAAATCTCTAGCCTTAGTTATGACCAAGGCTCGTAAGTTGTAGCAAATGTATATTTTTCTTTGTTCGCCCTATAACATCCAAAACAAGATACAATATGTTTCACACTTCTCTGATGTCATACACGAAATTTTATTTTGCTATTTCTTGCATATTTACGGTTTTTATTGCTATTTGCTAATTTACTGTTTTTAGTGCTATTTGGGGTAAATTTAATATAATATATAAAATATTTACAATTTGTGAAAAATAATGATTTACTTAGTTATATTTTTAAAAATATTTGAATTCTTGATTTTTTTTTTTTTTTACTTTTAACTGTAAATTATAAAATTGTAAAATAACATTTATTTTTTTTTTAATAAATTTATAATTTTTTCAAGTTACATGCATATTTTTTGATTTCTAGAGCTTTTTATAGCGCATATTTTGAATTTTTTAAGTGGATATTCAAGAGCTAAAAATTAACATTTTTAGTGCTACAACTTCGAGCCTGGTTATGATTACTTATGTAATAAAGAAATAACATTATTCTAGAGTTACATTAACGCATCTAACCATTTTTCATACTCAAAGTGGTAATGATATAACTTCCTGCTCACATTTGTAGAATAACAGCTTTTAATATTTAGTTTCACAACTAAACTAATATATAGGAAAAGCAATTTAAAAAAAATATACACAAATATATATATATATATATATATTCGGTGGTTTAAATTGTACAACCGAACAATATCCTCAAAAGCAAACTGAAAATACTTGTATATTGTAACACTTATAGGCGCAGAATTCCATACAACATATTTTACTGTGTAATAATAATTTGACTTACGTACTACACGTGTGATATCTTGCTGGTACGCGACTAGGTAAAAATATTGAAATTATTATGTAATTAAACTATTGTGAACTTTACAAACGTCTACCACAGTTTTTTTCTTAATAAGTAGGAAAAACGATATAATTATTAAAACGCATACGATTTTTTGGATGTGTCACAGGAGAGGCGAAAAGACTTGACGGACTACCGGGACGAATCGACGTTCAGTTTCGACCCGAGCCGTATCCCGGTCAAGCAACTGCAAGACAGACAGAATCGGGAAAAGAAGAAAGTAGACGGCCGAAAAGGTGTACTACTGTCTTCGGTAACGCGCAAACGGAAAAAGTCACGAAGACGTCGGACGCCGTCTCAACAACGATCACATCAATCGGAACAACAACAGCAGAACACTACGGACGACCGAAATAACGGCACCGTGGTCGGAGTGACGGATGCCGCAGAACCGGAAGTGGAAACAGTGGCAACGGCGGCAACGGTAGTATCGGAAGCTGACGCGACGGCAGTGACAGTGGCGTCGGGTGACTGTGAAGACGGTGAAGATTCGGGCAGTCGTTCATCAACGCCTCACCGAAAACCGTCGAGATCGCCCGATCCACCGGCACAACCGGTCACGCCACCGCCGCAACCGGAACCACCGCCCGTCACTTCCGCTACTCCAACTGCTGCAAAACCTCACGTGGCTGGTGACAGTCTGCGACCGTGCGCTCTTGTAGCTCCACAAGGTAAGTGACACGTAACACGTCAACTGCAAATATTGATACTATTACTTAAAACTCGTTTTTCCATTTTATTTTCTACCGTTTAATTGGTTAATCATAACCCTGTATGGCTAATAAACCCGATTCCTAGTTACTAAACTGTCATTTAATCCTAAGTTATTTTTATATTTCTGTCATCTATGATTCGGATCGGATATTTCAATTCTGATCAACCCATTTTAAAATCAAAAACTATCTTAAGTATCAAGGAGTAAAATTTTTTGTGAATAAAAATGCTTGAAAAAAATTAAACAATATTAAATGTATTCCTTATAGTGATTTAACAATTTTAAAACATAATTTTTATATTTAAGATTAAAATTTCAATGAAATCGGATAAAATAATTGCTGTAATTCAAAAAATATTAATTATATTCAACTTTTAATTTTTTATGATCAAGTCATATTATTTTCCATAAACAATACAACTTTCATAATATTTAGACTAGTTTTAAGTCATTTTACCACGGACCTATCCGCCATTCCATGGTATGCCTGTTTACAGAATCAATAAAATAATTTAATTTAATTTATGATATTGACTTACTGTTTGAGTAATAATAGTATACTATAATTTATAAATTATAATTCATTAAATAATCTGCTATAAGTCTCAAATTTAAACCAATAAAAATTGGATAAAAGTAATATTCAGTATTTTTAAAATTCAAAATTATATTCTGAAATTTGTATCCGTTTATCGAAAATAATTTTTAATGTTTAAATTTAATAATAAATGATATGTTTTAATTTTCAAATAAAATCTTTATCGATTAAGTTTAGACGTACTATTAATGGAAGATGTAAAATATATTTAAAAACATAGTGCTTATTTCAAATTTAATAGAATAAATAAACCTAATTATAACCTTAGAAATTCAAATATTTATATTGTTGATATGATCACAATTAATCAAGTGATAAAAAATGTTCTTACTAAATATATAATAAAATAAATAGACAGTTTTAATTGTTTAGACCTAGGGGATAAATTATATTATAAATACACCAATATGGATCCATTAGACTATTAGAGGATACAAATTTTAAAATAAACATAATAAACTTTCTTTAGTTAATGTATTTATAATTTATTTATAATTAAAAATTTTTGAGTAAATTTCATATAGAACAATATGTAAAGAATTTTTTTTTAAGTTGAAAAATTTAATTAACTTATAATATAATATTTAAATTACTTTTTTTTAATTAAAAAAAATTTACTTTGATATTTTAATGGAAAGAAAATAAAACCACAAGAGTATTAAAAAAATATTTCAATGGCTTATTTAAATTAATATAATATATAATTAGTAAGTTCGTTTATCATTAATCATAATAAATAGAATGCTTACAAATTAAATTTCAACAAGGAATAAGATCAAACACATAGTCTATATGAAGCTTTACAAATATTATAATTTTTAATATTTCATTGAATAATTAAATTAATTTAATTTCTTAAAACCAAATCATCTTTTTTGTAGTTTTAAATCATATTTTTATAACTTTCATCATTCCTAATGTAATTCACTTTTTAGTTTGAATGAGACAAACAAAAAAGTGCTGATTCCAGAATTAGATAGGATACTGAAGTGGGATACTCAGGTCATTATACTTAAAAGCAATAATAAATCATTGCAGTTGAAACAATTTTTTGAACAAAAATCGGTTCACCTAAAAATAGTCAAGGCTAATATTAAAAATTGATGCTTGGCAGTTATATTTGTTCACCCTTTTTCTCAATATCTACCAAAAATAACGACCCCTTTAAATCTGAGATCAATTCTAGTTCATAAATTAGTAGTTACCTGTTTTTAATATTTCAAGATATTACAATACTATATTTTAACTATTTTTAAAATATCTGATTACTTTTTTTTTTTTTTACAAGTACTAATAATTTCAAATCGTTCTATTCACTTTGTTTTACACTAAAATAAGCAAATTGAGACAAATTTTTAATAGCTAAACACAGTATCTTGTCTGTACTTTTTACCTCGATTTTAATTTAATAAAACTTATCTATCTTCTTTAAATTTTTTAAACTGTATTAAGTTAAAATAAATGTTCAAAAAATAAATATGATTTAATATCAATGTTTATTTAACAACATAAAAATAATAACCTATCAAAAAAAATATTTTTAAATCACTAAAATATAAATAATGTAATGGGAAAAATGTTGTAAATCTAATAATATTAATATTATTGTTATTCTTTAGTTTCAAATAAATGTAAAAATACTGCTTTTACATTTTATAAGGAAAAAATTGAATTTTCTGTTTTAATTTCAACTTCGGGCTCGTAAAAGCTAATTTTAGTTAAATAAATTAAAAATTATATTTTCTTTCTTGTCATTAAACTTAGAGATAACAAAAATTAAATGTTGTTGAACACTTCATATACTACTATCAAAGGGAATACACTTCGTATAACTCTCTGTTATAAAGTTTAATTTAATTTACCTTTAAGATAAAAATATAAATTAATTAAAATGGATTCTTGAATATAATATATTATTATGATGACAGGTAAATAATGATTATTTGAACTTAATAAAATTCATATATTTCATATTTATAAATAAATACATGTCATGCAACTATTTTCATTAAACATAAAATTTAACGACATAGATAAACAATTAGATAGGTAAACATTTTATCAGTGAATTTAATGATAAATTTTCAATGATTTTTTTGTAAAAATGCAAATTTTAATACATTTTTAAATTTGTTAAATTAATATTTGTCGATTTTTTAACTTATAATGATAAATGTATACAATGTACATTATTGGATTTTGTTATAAATAACACTGAGAAATATAAATATATATTCTCAATATTTAGATATTAAATATAGAATATTATGTTCATTTTATCGATTCTTGAAAATGTTGTTGATGTTGTTTTAAATCAAGGACGAGAACGGTGGTTACTAGGTAATAGACAGGGCAGTGCGAATACCAGTGAAGGAAACAACAGGGATTCATCACTGGATGACTCAGGTGTAGTAGATGATCATGATGACGGGGAAGCGACGTCACAATCACAATCCCATCACACTTCACCACAGCCACAGCAATGCGGATACCATCAGTTACCACAGGTAACCTCTATTGGGAGTAATTAAAAAAAAGTTCCCAATTACTGAGGTCAATAAATGCGTAAATCGATATCAAAGAAAATTTAATATGATTTTGTAGAATAACTGTCTTTTAAAATGTTAGTTGTAAAAATATATATATATATATATATATTATATATATAATAACAATATACAATAAATAAATAAATTTATAAATAATACAATAAAATATATGTTATATGCTTATATGGCTATAGATAATAGTCCTTATTAAAACTAGGATATCCCGAGTGCGTCCGGTTTTTAATTGTTATCTTTTTTATAGCCTGAGTGCGTCCTCGGTCCAGTCTTCAGCCCCATGCTAGAAAATTTCATTAATTGAAGACAATCAATTTCAAAATAATAAAATACCAAAACTAAATTTGGTCAAAAGAATTTATATTTAAACATCAGCATATATACATAAATAAATACTTAAAAAAAAAATATTTCTAAAAATAAAAACCATTAAAATAATTAGTATGCCCACCTAAAATCAAGAGTGTAAGCTAAAGTAACAGATATTATCATAAATAAGAATTAACAAATATTTTTGAGGTATAAACCAGTTCAACTCCTTATAATATACTACGGTTAACTCTAAATGAACTGGGACGCACTAGGGCGATGTCAAAAATATAACCATTTTTTCTTGGGATCCACTCGGGTGACACATTATTTTGGACGCACTCAGAACATTAAAAAACACTCGGGGAACCTCCTTTGAAAACTTTAAAAACTAATTATTTAATATTATTGTTTTAAGTATTATAAAATAATATATGCATATAGATATATCATGTAATATTAATATTTAATAAAATTAGAATTTTTTTTTTTTACCTTGAAAATTAATTTAATTAAAATTTCAAACTATGAAATGCTCAAAATTATATTTGAGTATTTTTCTTATTGATTTTTTTTTTAATTCTAATTTTATGAGCACATTATTTATACAATTTATTATTTGAGAAAACAGTAATAATTTAATAATTTACAAATTATCAATTTAAACTTTGTTTTTTATATAAAATATAAACAAAAATGCAAAACTAACTTAATTTGGTGTAATTTTTAAGGATATACAAATAATGTTTTTGAATTTAATGTGAAATTTAATCGTTAATGGTCCATTAAAATATTGTAGTTTATCTAATTTATAATGCACAAATAATTTATCCCTATTAATTTTATTATAGTACACCTTTTTATTTATTATGTATTTTTATAAAATCATCAAAAAAAAATATATATATATTATATGATGAACTATTCTTAGTAAAAAATAAATTTGAAAATAATAAATACATTTTGTGATGTCAACGTATACTCATTCCCGTTGTCCAAAAATCAAATGCAAATATATTTAACAGTAAAGCTTTAATCTTATGTTAAGTTTTCTTTTAAATTATAAAATATTGATCAATGATTATGTAGTATGTAGTTATTTTAAATTAATTATTCTTTGTGTCTAACGACGATCTTGCAGTGTATTTCAATTTATTTACTCTAAATTAAAAACTTTTGTTCTCTCTAAATTTTTATGAGAATGTAAAATATTCTTTCTAGAATTCCACCAACGATAATGGTTTAGCTGTATCAAAAAGCATTAAAGTGATCAAATGCAATGGGCTGAAAACAAAACCATTTGGCCGCAACGGCGAGGCCGAGTACGTGTCTCAGGTGGTTGTTATTGGTATGTGTACATTAATAACACTATTAACTCCCTGCATCGCCTCTAAAACTGTAATTCCTTAGAAAATAGTAGTCTGCGTAAGTTCTGTTTGCTGAACTATCAACAATAAACTCGTGATAATAATGATATAATGTTTTGTATTACTTGACCATTTATGATAAATTTATTAAAAATAATAAATTCGAATTACATGGACGATTTTTTTCACAGCTATCATTAAAAATTAGAATTTATAAAAGTATACATATATTGTACTAAAAAAATAAATAAATATAATTTTTTGATGATCTCTGGTGGTTTTTAAAGACAAGTCTTCTAAAATATAATTATTATAATCAGTTAAACACAACATAGTCTATAATAAACGTTTAGTTTAAATGATCGTGTTTATTCACTATTATCTAGTATCATTAACTTGTATCTCTATGGCGTTAATCACAAATATTTATTTAACTCTCAGTTATAATAAGTATCGTTTACTCGAGTATATTTGTTGAATTTAATTTGAATAAATAAGATAATATCTTTCAACTTATATTATATTTAACGCTTTTAATATGTCTTACATCATTAAATGTTTAATATTATAGATATATCTTTTAATTATTTAAATTTTATGAATAGAAAAATAATAAATAGTTTAAATTTTTTTTTTTTTTTTTGTCAGAAATTAAAGGAATTTCTGAAAATGTAATAATATATATAATCAGTTATTCTTGATCTTAATCATTATTTGATAAAAAAATTTTTATTTTGTTCTATCGCACTTTATATAATACATTAAAAAACTTTTAACTTATAATATTTATATTGATCTTAAATTATTAACATTTAATTTCAATAGTTTATTTTAAACTTTAAGCATAAGTTATAGCTTCAATAAAACAAAATATCATTTTTTTTAAATCGGTTACTTATATAATGTAAGTTCACAATCCTATGATCTAATAAAAAAATAATATTTTCTATTAATATTAAAAAATTACAATAATCCAATGGTTTTGTTTAGTCTGATTATAGTTTTTAACTCAAAATTTAACACACTTTTAAGCAATGTAATTTAAAATTAAAATATTAATTTATTTTTTTCATATTTTCATCTAATAAAAATCACTGTTGTATGGTGTTTAAGTGACATTTATGTATGAATTGTATAATATAGTACATACCTTTATGGCTATATATTTATTATATTGTCTTGAAAATTTATTTTCAATATTAACCAAGTAAAACTATTCAAAAACTGTGTACAATATATTATAGTAATTTTATGTACCTTTCTCTGTTATTTTAGTTTAATTTAATTGTTACCATTTTATTTAGTGATATAAAATATATATATATAAATAAGTTATAATGGTAGAATTCATATTCTCATTTGATACTGTGTACCATTTATATATCAATTAATTTAATTATAAGTATTATTTTCCTTTTTCATGCATGTTTTTTTTTAAATTAACTTTAAAATTTAAATGTAATTAATTTGACCAAAAAAATGGCTAAAAGGTTAACATGTACGTTTTATACATAACAAAATACATAACAGTAATTGTAACATGGAATACTATAATTATTTCTAAGAGTTAAAGGTACAACTGCTCAAGCAATTCTTACATTTTATATCCCTTTTTTTTAACCATGGAATTTAGATTTACCAAATGCTAATCTATAATTTTAGTTTTATAATTTAAATAATAATACTTTTCTCTAACGATTTTCTTTTCAAATTCCGATCAATAATCACATTTAGTTATAATATATAATTATTCGTTGAATATAATTTATTGAAAGAAGTTCCAAATATCTATTATTCTTGTTGAACACAACGAAATGTTATGGCATATATGAATATTTGCAACTCTGCGGTATAATCACAGCAATGATAATTTATTGATGTATTATTATTGTTATCAGACGATCGAAACTGTTTGAATTGCAACAGAAATTGCATTGACTACCAAACATGGCTGAGAGTACAAAACTGCCTGCATAAAGTGGTCAGAGATCCATTATTTGAGTTGTTTATAATGGCATGTATCATATGCAATACAATAGTGCTGGCTATTGAACATCATGGGATGTCACAAAATGTACGTAACATTTTGGACGTTGGAAACAAGGTAATTATTCAATATTTGAATTAAACATTATGCCTCTAATTACCGTATCGATAAAAATAAAAATTAATATGTGAAATGAAATAATTCAATACTGGTTTTTTATTTTGCCGACAAAAAGTTAGCGAGTAAACAATTATTCTTTTTATACTCTATTTATAAATCCATTTATTTATTTTCAATCTGTACTAACAGCAGATCAGTAAGCTACCATAATCATTTCTAGCTGATTTGATTTTAATATAATTTTTGTTCAATTAGCATATAAAAAGTAATAACTGTATAAAATATACCATTTAATATAAATGAGTAAACAACATAATATTTTATTATATCAAACATATTTTCTAACAGTTTTTGACATTTAAATTAAATATTTTTAAAAAGATATAATTATTTTATTTTATCATCTTTTCGTTATAATCATCAATGGACTCATAACTCTGTGAGAGTTTTAGTCAACATCATCAGTATCGTCCAAGTTTCTCAAACTTCTCTGTATAATAAATTATTTTATTTAACATCAACATTTTAAACAATTTCCATAACTATTTCTCCCAAATAATTGTATCAGATTTATTCAACCTACATAAAATCCAGGTTTAGCTTATTAAGATTAAAGTTGAGTTAAATGCAAACAACAATTTTAGTAGTCGATTTCTTATAATTTTTTATTCTGTTAATGCTTATGGCAATCAATTTTATCTTTTCAGGTTTTCACAACTATTTTTACTGTGGAATGTCTATTCAAGTTAATTGCTTTGAGTAATGAATTTTTCAATTGTGGTTGGAATATATTTGACATGATAATTGTGACAGCTAGCTTATTAGATTTATCATTTGAAATGATCGATGGTTTATCAGTTCTTCGCTGTCTGAGACTGGTAAGAACATTTTATTTAAGTTAATTAGATAATAATTATACTTTATAATAACTACACATATTAATTTATGTGAAATTTCGGGTAAAAACAATTCAATACATTAACTGCAATAAACTTGATGATTGTGTTTATTTATTATTAAATAAATACAATGAATAAAGATATATGTATAATTTATATTTATAAAGCATATTTTATTATTTATTTATTTATTTTTTTTTTTTTAATATTTAATTCAAGAAGAGAATTTTTTCAAACTGACATTAAATGAAAGTTCAACAGAAGTGTCTTGTATCACAAACGATGAAAAAGTTTCGCTTATTTGCTATGGGATTATTATTTGTTTTTTTAATAATCTACAGACTCGTAAATCCGTAGAAATACAGAGTGGTTTCACAAATACACGTATATAACATAACAATACCGTTAAAAATTTGTTAGAGTAGCTCAACCGTTTGTTTTTAATTTTTTTTAAATTAAGTACAAACATTTTAACAAAAAATAGGTACATTATTGTTTTTTTAAAATAAAGTGCATGCATTTATTTAGATATTTATATATCAATATTAACATTTCAACCTCAGGCATTAATTATTATTAAAATTTACGAGTATACATCGTGAAAGTCACAGAATAGTGATTGCAGTAGAGTATATTTAAATACAAAATTACAGATTTTTTTTCAAGAGAGTTAAAAAAAAAATAAATATATTAATTTGATTTCAAAAAATAAATTTTCTGATTTTTTGCGCTCAGATTATTAAAAAGATAAAAACAATTTTTGTTTTATAAAAATTTAATTTGATTCACTTTATTTATCTGACAAATAATTTTAAAAAATGATTACAATAAAAAATGTATAAGATACATGATATGTTTTGTTCAAATACAAATATTGAAGATACATACATGTAATTGTATTTATCATACTTATTTTTATAAATAATTTTAAATTATGTAATAGCTATACCAAAATAATACAATATAAACACTAAAAAAAAATTAAAACATTAAATTATTATATAATAGTGAAGCTAATATACTTCGTGTTGATGCTAAAACAATAGTAAAAAAATAATAAAACTTTATCAATGTATATTTTATACGTATATTGTAATGTTATGATGTTGTATTTATTCACAATTAAATATCTTAAGAAATTATTGTAATTGATAATTTAATTTAGCATTAACAATCAGATATTATTTCTTTAGTATTTATATTGTATTATTATAGTAAAAACTACTATATGGTATAATATTATTAACAAAAAATAAATTATATTAAATAAAAATTACATTTATTTAAAATATTTTTATTTTAACAAAACATATTTCAATATTACATCACCTCATATATTCTTATAATATCTCACAGGCTCTACAAAACAAATTAAATTATATAATAAATATGAGTTACATAACTTTCAAACTACATCACACTTCTTTAATTGATCTGAGGAATGATAGATGAGCAATTATTTTTTCTGAATCAAATGTATTATTTTTTTGAACAATTTATAGTCGTATGTATTTTGTAGTTATATGGTATTTCAGTGAAATTTGTAATAGACTAAAATTGTAATTAAAATGAAATATTGTTTATCCGCATAAAATATAGAGAAAAATATTTTGCTTATGATTTATTATGAATTAATGATGCACTTTTCATTATGAAAATTAAATGTTATTACATAAAAAAAAAAAAAAAACAAATCGCATAAATAGTGTTTCCTATCCGCAAAAATCAGTGAAGCACATCTGTATTATAGCTTACAAAGTCTCTCTCCAATATTAAAAATCAATGGTCCAGTACTCGAATTGTACTACATTTCCAAAACTATATAAAATATAGATGAGATGTTTCATATGCTCGGAACATTGGCCTTTTGTCTATTAGAAATGGTAATTGACTGGCCATCTCGTACATATCATTCAACTGTGGTATTCCTTATAAGTGATGACCCTATGAGTTATGTTTCGAGAATGCGCTTGGCAGACCGTAAATTGCGTCGGCCGTACTATTTGGGTTTTTAGGAGAAACGAATAGCGGCGATGAGGGACGAAGTAAGGGTGTAATAAACTGCATCCATGTTTTCCGAATAGCTTTATAAGACATAAGCCACCTACCGTTATATTATGCAAAGTGCCGGGTTAAAATATGTCAGACCTATAACGAAAAGCGGCAGGTTAAAAACCATTAAACATTTTCCGGTTATGGTATCGTTTCGTTTTCACCAAAACTGCAGTAGGTAGTTATAACTTATATTATTTAACCGAATGTACCGGTGCAGCCGTTTAGGACGTTTATTGTTTTGTCGCCCACGCTGTTGCGCTATTATTTATTCGACTGCATATTATTTGTGTGTACATGTCTGAGTGTGAGGACGGGGCGTTAAAAAAACGTACCACCGTATTTAATTGATATTAATGTGCAATACACGATTGCAACACAAAGTTTAAAAATAATAATACGTGTACCTATATGATGTTATAATATAAACTAATGCATATGCAGCGGACGCTGTACTCGTCTGCGAGAAAATGAAATTTTCATAATATAGTAGGTCGCACGATATAACCCTATGCCTTTTCGCTACGTTACGCAACATAATATACAGTAATACAATACAGTGCTACAGAATCTTATTTTTATAAATTCGGGCACTGAAACCAGTGCCAAGTAATATTGTGATCCGTTCGAAAAATGCCCGACTGTATGGGACATTAACTTCTGTCGTAATTGAGTGAAATGAAGCATGGCTGCTGGAACATTGGTGACTTAACTGATTTACCGTCTTACATACATTATTACAGTGCGTTTTTATTAATTATATAGTCGTTATAATTTTTTTTTTTATTTTTTACACTAGCTTCGAGTTTTAAAATTGGCTCAATCGTGGACAACCATGAAAGTACTATTGAGCATCATTATATCAACAATCGGAGCTCTCGGTAACCTTACATTTGTTCTAATCATCATTATATATATATTCGCTGTCATCGGCATGCAGCTATTCTCAAAAGAATATATGCCAGAAAAATTTGATCCAGATCCAGTGCCGAGGTAATAAATACATACTTAACTTGTTTAATTTCAATGTTATTTAATGTAGATAGCATAGTGTAGAAATTAAATTATTAAGTTAGAAAATTAAATTATACATATATTCATTGATCACGTGACTTACTCACACATGTTCCATACATTATATACTTGTTAAGCAAAATATATGTAATAATATAATATCAATTGATTCCAAATTCAATTTTTATGTTATGGTATGGTATAACATATCAAATCGTGCAAATATACGCAATTATCAAGTGGATAAATTTACAAAATTATGTTTAAGCTTAAAAATATTATTAATTCTGCCGAATAATTTGAATAATCGTTACTGCCATAAGATATATTGAGTGGTTTATTATTACAACTTCGACAAGATTAAATATTGTAAGAAAATTAAACGAAATTGTAAGGTTTGAGTGATTATGTTACTTGTCAATTTTGTCAGTAATATTATTAAAGTTATAAAATATAAGATATTTGTCAGTTAATTATCTGCTTACTATTAGGACAAATCCTTCGTAAAATAATGTGTTCGTGACAAATATTTGAGAATATTATACTAATTCCCTGTTCGTTATTAATATTATTATAATTTAGAAAGTTGTCAAGAAAAAAGTATATAAAATAAAAAAAATTATCTTAGTATTAAGCTAATTAAGGAAGCATAATCATAAAATATATTGTTAACAGACCGAAGTACTTAACATTAGATTATTTTTTTAAATATTTATAGTGATGTATAATACGTACTTTAAAATTAGAAATTTCATATAAAAATCAATATTAAAAATTGCTTTATTTGGTTGCTTTTGTAGATGGAATTTTTCAGATTTTTTCCACTCGTTCATGATGATTTTTCGAATTCTATGTGGTGAATGGATTGAACCATTGTGGGATTGTATGAAAGCCGAAGAGAAAGAGGTATGTTATTATACTTAATTAAAATTCTCCAGAATCATGATTTAAAAATTTACTACAGTTCAATTTAATTTTAAGTTGACATTTTTATTTACAATTATGTGATAATATAAAATAATCTAAAACAAACATCAAGACCGTTTTTTAGTTGTAAAGTATTATACTTGAGCTTTTCTGGAGATTAATTACTTAAAGATATAATGTAAAAAGTATATAGCTAAAATTACTTTTAATGACTTTCTTTAGGGTTTCGGTATATGCTTCGCAATATTTTTGCCCGCACTGGTGATGGGTAACTTCATGGTTCTTAACCTATTTTTGGCGTTGTTACTCAATAGTTTCAATTCTGAAGAATTAAAATCGAAAAAAGAGGTAAGATATCGAATTGTATATATAAAACAATAAAAAAAAAACCTATGTCGTTGCGTATAATTTAGCAAGGTCAACAAGAAGTAGACGAAGAAATGGTTCATTACAGAGAAAGATGGGCCCATCATGTTAGAGTAATCAGTAACATTTGCCAAAAGTGTAGAATTCAAAATTCATCAAGAAGGTCCTCAATTTCTTTGTCAAATATCCCAAAAGATACAATTGTATCTCTCGTAGATTATGAGGTATATAGATAAACAATATACATGTTTTTCTTTGGCTTTTCTACACGTTTTGCTGTGCAGGTACACAATTGCCTTTTAACTTACACAAAAAAATAAATTAAACGCTCTCGCAATGAAAACAGCAAAAAAAAAAAAAAAAAAAAAATGAAAAAATGGACCAAAATCTATTTTAATTTTTAGGACAAAAAAATGTTAGCCTCACGTTTGTTCTTAAAACTCAACACGCTTTGACACTCGAGCACACTAATGATATGGGGTACAATTTTACTATACCTTTATTTTATTCGCACACAGTTTCATTTACTGAATAATGATTGACGTATGAAATATTTTTCATCGTGCACATCTAACACGAATTAAAAATAAAAGTTTTTTTGCACTTTTTTAGGTATATTATATACCTATCCAAAAAGTTGAATACAAAAAATATCTATAAATATAAATTTTCTTTGCGCTATTTTATAATGCTGTAATATAATTTTCAAACATATATTACACAATTCACAGCTTTAATATCAGCTTATACTCTATAAACAATTTTAATAATTTTTTTATCAACTAATTAATTATATTGTATTTTAAATGTTATAAATATTTTTTCAATAATGCACTTACAACATATATCATTTAAATTTATATTTTAAAAAAATGTAAACGTAAATTATTGAAAAATAAAGCCATTAAAAGCTTTTGATAATATTAAAAATGTATTTTCATCTTTTACATGATGATTTCCATTTGAATCAAAAAATTAGTAAATTATTGTTATTATTATTATACCTACTTAAAAATATATAATTTAAAAAAAATTCGTATATTTTATTTTTCAAAATTCTTATTTTTAAGTATTTTAAATTACGTACAAGTATGAATTTTCAATATGAAATGGTGGTGTGAATGGCTTGAAGTCTTGACCACCCAGAAAGTTGATGAGGCAAAGAAACATACAGGCATCAGCTCCTAGTTTATTAATAAGATACTCAATTCATTTTTATTTACGTATATATTTATAACGATATAATTTTATAAAATACATTTTTATTTTTAGACTTATTAGTTGGGATAAAAATGTATGACATGGAAAAATTCAGTTTAAATATAACAAAAAAAAAATAATTGTTTCTATTATATCACATATAAGTAGCATTTAACGAAAATTCGTTGTGTATGACTAACCATTATAAAAAAGCAACATGATTTATCCTTTAAAATATATACTCACATAAATAAACATGTCACTATAATATCGTTAAGCAAAAAAAAAACAGTATAATCAACCGCAGAAATATATAAAAACAGCTTAGGTATATAAATTCAATGTAATGTTAATTACATACGTAATATAAAATTAACTTGTAAAATAGAAAAAAAATAATATAAGGACATAATTATTATTATATTAATTATTTAAATTAAGTTTATGCTAAAAATGTCATTACTTAGTTAGTGACTTCTTTAATTAAATCACGTATAGCGAAGTTCACACTATATATAATAATTATAAACGTTGACATTCACTGACTTTACCAACAGGAAAAAAAATATTTTGTTTTAAGTTCGATGAAGGTTAATCCTAAATTTATAATACTCATATATTTTATCAATTATAAAATAATTTTTATAATCGAAAACTTCAAACTTCAAATAATGAATACAGCAACAAAATAATGCTTGTATAAAAATGTTGAATGATACATAATATTATATAAAATAAAACACAATCTAAAATTATGTATTTGACAAAGTATTCAAATATTATGAATTTTAGTATCAATAATCAACTAATTAAGTGACTCGTATAGCATAAATATTAAAATAATTGTATGTCATCATTTTATTCGTATATTGTTATCTGTAAAAAGTGAATAAGTAATAACTAATAACTAACATTAAAAGAAGTCATCTAAAAAAAAAAAATCTTCGACAAAAAATATTAAAAAATTATTTACAGTCATGAAAATTCAGCTTTATATTTATATGTAAAAAAAAAAATGTCTTTATTATTATAACATTATTAACTAAACAAACTTTTTAATATAAAATAGTATTTTATACTTTTGTTTTAAGGCTTGGTGAGAATGGTTTTTTTTTTTTTTAAATTATTCAAATAAATAATAAAGGTTATATTAATACTTTTAAAAAATATCTGAACTGAAAATAAAGTTCAATGGGTTTAATATTCATTGGTAACAAGACAAAAAGTTCATATAATTATTACAAACACATTGTATTTCTATGAACATATAGTTTTGTTAAAAAATAATTGTGAAATATTTGTAAAGTATAATATTTTTATGTAATAATTGCTAATTTTTTATTTAATATTTCAATAACGCTAAAATGTATAGATAAAATAAATTTATTCTATAAATCCAAAAATGAATTTAAATAACACACTTCGGAGCACTTTTAAAAGCTCGTATCTTATCTATTTTTTTAAGGTGTTTCACAATTGTTCTATAAAAAAATCACTAAACGAATGATATCCCCATTTATTGTACTCCATAATCCCTTAGACCAAAATGTATGTTGAATATTTTTTATTGTTTTATTTAAGTTTGCATTTTAAGTCTAAGAAAAATAACTTCTTCTAGAAAGTTGGTTTCTTAACAATCTTGATAAATTCTTTGGATTCAGAACTTTTTTAATTCTGTAGAAATATTAAAAATTTTTAGAGAAATTCACCACCATTTACAACTTATATACTATTATCTTATAAATGAGCATTTAAAAAAACTCGGATCAATTTATGATTTTTAAAAACATTTTATAGATGTAATTTATGTATAAATTTATAACATTCCTAGTATTTTACAATATCTTTTTTTAACGCTTTAATGTTTAAATCAATTTTTCTATTCCGAATATTTTTTATCATTAAAAAAATTAGAACGTATGATGGGCTTAAAAAAACTATAAAATTATTATTTTCATTACGTTTTTCAATTTTTTTTTTTTTTTTTTTGTTATAAATTTCCTATGGTTCAACTCGGTGTAGAATAAAAATAAATTATTATTATAAATTTTAAAGTAATTATTAATTATCTCATTCGAAAAACGATTCTAAATTGAGTTCAAAAGTTTATAACAAAATGTTATAACACGTTTTAGATTCGGATCACACCGAAGAATGTATTGGGCATAGGGATTTTATGGGAATATCTATTCCCAGTACTTTTAAAAATAATTTGAAACTGCTAAAAAAAAAAAGTAAGAAAATTAATTTAGGACAAATATTATTCAGATTACAAATCGCCCTTTACGTTAATCTATTCAACAATCAGCAATGGTTTTATTATTATAAAATGGTATAATTAAACATAATACTTAGGGCAGATTATGAATTACTTATAAACATTTGAAAATTCCAACTTTTTTGGATTTAAGTTCATATTTTTTTTTCTACGTTAAAAAATGTTTAAAACTAATACAAGATAATTCTTACAGAAATTTAAAAATATTTAAAGCTCAATTGCACTTTATTGTTTTAGATATTTTGAGTTAAGTTTTGTAATAATTTAAATTTTAGTTATTTGATTAAATTTCGAAAAAAAAAATTGTTGTAGAAATATGAATTACCTACATATTTATAGGTTCTATTTTTCTCTAAACATAATCAAATTTTCAAAATTTTCACACCAGTTTTAAGCTAATTACATCCCAAATATCTTCATATTAACTGTTTTACAGTAACTCTTTATCATAGACTATTATATGTTCTTACAAATAATATATACAATGTTTATGTCAATAATTAGTTCAACGATAGAGCTTTAACTTACCATACTGCTAATAGAAATAGAAATTACTAATAATATTATAAATTAATCATAATAATATCCTTTGAAATATAATCTCAGAATCGTTTTCCGTTTTTTATCATTAATAATTTAATTAAAATTTTATACATTCATTGCAATGATTTGTTAAATTAAAAAGTACAGTATAAAACTAATATAATATAGAGTCATTTTCTCCGTTTCTTATAATATAAAATAACTAGTAAAAATCAATTATGATTAAAGATTCTTTTCATTAATTTAACTAGCAATATAAATGCTTAGAGTAGCTTTAAAATAAAATTCCCAAACGTTTGATCTCAAAATATTATTCGATAATATATTTAAAAATAATAATATTCTGATAATACATTCAAAGATTTTTTAACTGTACATAATCAAGTTATAAACATTTGAAATTAAAATCTATAATAAACGGAATACAATATGCATATTAATATTGATAAATAAAAATGTTAACCTAATAAATAGAATAATGTATATCGCATGAAATAAAAATATATTTTATATAATAATTAATCAACTTAAATAATACAAATTAAGTTATTATGTTTTAACTCAGCGTTATAATAAAATGTATTTCATTTATATATATATATATATATATATATATATATGATATATTAACAAAAATGTATACTTGAAAATGTTGATAAGTATATGATGATACATAATAACATTCCCAACAATTCATTTTTATTTTAAATGTATGACAATCTTTTATAAGGGACAAGCCGGAACGAATAATACATTTTAAGTTATTACAGAATATTTGAATTATTATCATTGTGCTGCAATTTAGGACTATGACATTAATTTAATATAATTTATATATCTTACAGGAAGTTGGCGATGGCTCTAAACTGGAAAGAAGTTTTCAGAGGATTCGTTCAATTATCAGGAAACGTAAGCGTCGACAATCGCGAACTGAAACAACTAGTTGTGATACTTCTGTAAATTTTAAACTAGAAAATACAGTTAAGCAACTAATGCGAATCAAAAATGAAAAAAAGAAAATGAAAGCAGAAATAGTTAATATTTCAGATGATGAAATATGTGAGCGTCAGCAGAACTGGTAAGATTTCACAACGAAATTATTTAAACAGATTTTAGGAATAAAACCAATTTAATGACCAATACGTACAAATATAATATAGTTATTATTTTAGATAAAAAAAATAATATCCATATGTTGATAACTAACACGCATATCAAAAGTGTATGATATATTTTAATGTTTTTATGAAAATATTATTGATACTCATATCATTAAACTATCACCCTATTTAATATCTATTTTTATTTAGATAATTAGAAAATAGGTATTTAAAAATATAAAACAGAGGTATTTCCAATAAATCATCATTACTCTTTAATACCAAACAAAAAAATACTCGAAACTCGCTAATGTTTAAAAATATAAAACATAGTTTCATTACATTATTTTTATTTTTATACGATATATAGACACAATAATTAAAATAATATATATTGCAGTGTTTGTAACTACTATGCTATAAATAAGTATAATTTTTAGTGAATATGACATAGAAATTACCAACAATCGTATAGAATCTGATCAGAACGATGGGACGTCATTAGTATTAAATGCCGGATACTTAGATCAACAAGAGAAGACTGATCGCCGAATTCAGCGAGCCATGACGGAAGACTCTACGGATACAGGTTAGTTATTTTTAATATTTAAAAACTAATGTAGACTTTAATATATATTATTTATTTATACACCTGTGTTGCACAAATCATTACGATTTTATAAAAATATATATTTCACAAAAAATCATATTATCACAAAATAAATATTATAATTACGTTGTACTATATAAAAACTATATTTTTAACGAAATTTTATACTATTTTATTACTGGATGAAGTAATTTATTAATTAAATAGTCATAAATGTTTGTTTATAATCCTTCACCCATCCATAAATGTATTTTACGTTAATAAAAACGATAAAAAATAAACTGATGGTAGTTGTACAGCTTATTTTATTTCATCATGCGATTAATTATTTTTATACAAGAACATAAAAAATGTTAAAATATCAAGTACAATCTATGTCTAATTTTTAGTTTTGAATTCACTACACTACCTTAACCTTTAAAACATTTTTACAACCCTAAAAAACTGTTTTCTAGAATAAAATAAAATTTTGAAATTTCTCTACATTTTTAATCTAAAAAACCACCGTTATGAAAACTATCCAAGCTATAAACTTACTCACTCTCTTTAACATGTTTTTAGTCAGAATACATAAATTAAATGTTAAATTTATCACACACATTTCTGAATATTAATGATGTCTAAATAAAAACTTAAAATCTAAAGTGAAACACAATTCAAAAAATAACCAGATGGGATTGTCTTAATTTTAAATAAAGTATTTTATTATCTTTTGGTGAGGTTATGAAAAATTCTATAAATCTACGTCCCTACATTAAAAGTTATAAATAACGTCAATTTTTTAACATCGAAAAAATATACGAGTAGTCACTATATGTCATTCTTCGTTGAGTACACTAATCCTGTATTATCGCTCTAAAATACAAAACTATTTTATTATTACGTTTTCGTTAAAATCGAATAAAACAGCTAACCGTACCATTCCATATATTTGATGGTATAGATAAATATATTCAAAAACGTAGTTTTATAAAAAAATCTTTTCGTGACGTAGTATACTTTATACAAAAAGAAAGACGACATTATGTAAATTGAATTTCGTGGCCGTTTACGACTCAATGCAAGTTCATATAATTCAAAATCTTATAAAAAAAAAAAAAAAATGAATAAATTCATAACACTACAGAAGGTGAAATGGTGAAATGAGCCTGAAGATCAATTACTCCTTAGGGATTATGTGGGCTATGTCCAATTTAAAGTATCCAGTGCATACAGATAGAATATAACGTATGTTAGTGGAAAGACTCTGAAGGTCAGAAAAACTAAAAACTAAATTCGTTGTAACAGATTGATAGAAACCAGTACGGTTGTTCTATTATTAATTTAATATTGTATAAAATAGGTAGTTTCAAATATTTTAAAATCTCCCAGAACTTTGATTAAATTTTTTTATGTGAAAAAAAAAACAAGTTGGTAAGTATACCTATTTCGATGATAAAATACACCAAATAATATAAGTCTTGTCGATAAATTAGTTATCTGATTTACTTAAATTTAGTCTTAAAAGAATTGTATGCAAAAATGTGTAGTATAATATATTTTTGTATGTTAACTAAAAATGAAATTTTGCTTTATAGCTTACATTTTTGATGAAAACTAATAATAATTAAACGTTTTATTGACATTCATAATATAATATAACGCTTGTCAAGAACTTATAAATAATTTATGTATCACTGTGTCAAATAATTCAACAAATATGACAATTTTACATATTGCTCAAATAATGATTCATCTTTACTCTGAAAAGTTTGCAGTTAAATACAATTTTATCGTACTTCATCAATTATTAAACCTAAACTAAACTGTGCACATGATATACTCATCTTAATTGTTGAATTTGAAATGTCTTGTCAGCATTTATAAATTCATTTTTTTTAATTTTGCATCGTTTTTAATATTATATCAAACAATTTATTGATATTGAGTCACTATTGAATTAATTGTAATTGTTTTAAAAATACTATAGCTTTAAGTTCAAAATAAACGAATCGATATTCTGATAATAATAGTAATATTATTTTAAAAATGACTATACGTATATAATTTTAACTCAATAGTATTGACTTTTGATTTATTTTTTTTTCAGCTTTACTTTTAATATGTTATTATTCAACGAATATAACAATTAAATTAATTCGTTAAAATGTGTTGTTTTAAAAGCAACAATAAACTGAAATTATATTTTCTTTTTTTAATTATTTATAAATTAAACGATAGCTTAAAATATCTATTAAATTTTAATGAGATACGTCAGATCCAATTGTATATAAACATTACATAAGACATATCTAAATTGAAAAACTTTAGTGCATAATTATTTTGAATGTAACTTTAACTTTATAGTATATATTTTTTTAGACTACCTACTCTTGACTTAATCTTTCAATAAGTACAAATGAAAATCATAGGATGTATTTGTTATTGAATTAATTAATAAATTTTATCAAATAACGTTAATTTATTTAATTAAATGTTAAATAAATTTCTGAAGTTCTTTATTATTTTTTACGAAATAAACAACTAAATAATAATATGTTTACATTCAATGTCACTTCACATGTATCTAAATAACTTATAACCGTATAAATATGTCACTTATTATCTAAATTACATATGTACTAAAAACGTAAATGAAAAAATATAATTTATGATTCTAATAATATCATCCCTATTATTTGTATGCTGTATTTTTTTATATTTTATGTTTTATAAGCAAGTAAATCATCTAAACAAAACTATAAAAGTTAACTACATTAACCTTTGTATTCTAAGTAATATGGCACTTGTAATAACTTCAATATATTATGATATATGCAATAGATGTTTTTACTTTTTAAAGAAACATATTAGAAAAGTTTATAAGATAAAAAACCAGAGTAATTAGCCTTTATAAAATATAATGGATTTTTAACTTATAATATAATGACAATTGAAATTTGAAATATAATTTACAGTGTAATATATAAAAATTATTAATTAAATTATAAACATATAATATATGAATTGTTTAAAATAAAACTGTGTACTTGTATTAACGAAAGCATTAGTTATTGATTAATTTAATGAAAGTATAACAATCTTAAAAACCTTTCAACAATATTTGTTTTTGTTGATTTTGTCTGTGATTTTATAATTTAAATATTTCTTTACCTGAATTCTTTATAATTTTGTAGAGCTTAATGTATATAGGATATAACGTTCTACTAACAATTAATCAACAACAGTAATTGTTTATAGGATACCAAGCAGTATACGGTGTAAGCAACTTTTTAAAGATCATTAGTCATTTTTTTTTTTTACGAAACCCCTTCAACGCCTTTTGTTTAATTTTATGATATCATATTTTATTTTACCTTAAGTAATTTAATTGCTATTTCACATAGTCTCATTTCATGTTTTAACAATATACATGTATATACAAATTTAATTTTACAATCTCAACCGTTTCTAAATCAATTAATCATCATAATAATAATCATAATAAATTATGAAAAATGTATTTCAGTAAACCTTTGGTGATATTTTTGAAAATTGAACCAATAAACTAGGTAAAAAAATTACGTTTTCCTATATAATATTAGTTAAAAATCAGTATTTGATTCTTAAATATTACAATATATAAAAATTAAAATTAAATTTAATGGATAAATATCGTCAGCATTATTATTATTGTACCTATAAATATATATATACTATTATTCAAGTTCAAAACTTTTATATCAACACTGGTTTTTGATTCCTAAGGGATTTTGCTGCTGAAATAGTTTTATATGTTAGGTCAATATTTGCCATTTCATATGTTACGTTATTAGAAATCAGAGTATATAAATTGACCAAATGCAATTCATGACATTTCAAAAATCTGAATAACTAAAATAAAATTTTGAACTTACTTTTTTATAAAATATTATTAATTAAATAATAATTTGTGTTATATGTTACGGTTCTAATAGAAAATTTGATTTTTTTTTTTGTGACTTAATATTTAATTTATTGCTTAATTTTTAAATTTCAAATAAAATATTTAGATTGACATACCTATAATATTATAATAATGTGTGTTAGAGTTAGTCGAGATATTTTAAAATAACCGTATTCGTGTTTTATAAAATGTAAAATACATATCATCTCTGCAATTAATTATTTAATCTACCTTATTGCTTAATATAATATAACATACTTAATTATATGATTTCATTTGAAATTTTAAAACAAAAATCTTCTATTTCGCTTAACAAACAGATTCCAATTTACATATTAACAGACACAAGTATACAATAAAAATTTTTTTAGTCTTAACTTAATATGATTAAACCCGAAAGATAACATAAAAACGCGATAATACAAGCGCGTTAAATAATTTAAATTCCAATAAAGTTTTTTTGTTTTTTATCAAATGCATAGATATACATTTTTCTTTCTGCACAGTGAATTATTGGATATGCAATATTAAAAAGTACACGCGAAGAATGGAAACGCGACGTATATTGTATACAAATGTTACGAACAGCGTTAAGGGGTCGGCACAAAAAAAAAAAAATAAAGGAAGAAAAAAGAACCAATCTACGTGGAATTTTCTGATGGTGACATAGTACCTACATATTATGTATATGAATTATCATTGTCAGCAAACAACACAGAAATTACTTTCTAGTGTGTGTGTGTGTGTGTGTTTGTGTGACGGAGCATAAACAACAATCGGATATTTTGAACGGGTCGCAAACGGGATATGACGTATTTGCATTTAAACAAGACACTTAAAATGACAGGCAAAACTATTGCGAGGTTGTGTGGTAGAGTTAGGCAAAGGATGTGAATTCAAAGGGTAAAAAAAGAAGGATGGCCTGAACAAAAAGGATCAGAGAAAAAAACCGTTTATAGTGTGGAAACTCGTTTATGACAAGGGATTCGCGCATAGAAATAATGTCCTGTTAAGTTTAGCAGACCAGATCTATAATGATTCGAGTTAGGGTTAA